CCCCAAAACCCCAAAACCCCAAAACCCCAAAACCCCAAAACCCCTAAAAATTGCTGAAAGATTGATTTTAGCTACTTTTTATAGATAGATTCTTGGTTAAAAACTGGCTTCAGAGGAGCAGCTGGAGCGAGGAGGTGATCTTCAAGTTCTTTATACATATCTTCAGACCTCTTCTGGATCTTTGATCTGATCTCCTGACCTTTGAACAACTTTGATACCATTTTGGCTGTCCTTTTCAGACCTGACAGCGGCTGCTTTATAAAAATAATTAACTCAAAGCAAAAAAATATCTCAAAATTTCTTTCTTACCTTCTTTGTTTCCAAGTTTTCTTCCTGTACTGGTCTTGTCGGCTTCTCATTCAGCTTCTCTAAAGTAGCGACCAGGTTCTTTTGGCTTAAGATATACATACTTTTTGGAGGATTTAAGAGCCATTGGGCATATATCTCATCGCTATTTAGTCTCCTCCCTCAGCTACTAAACCCATGGCCATCAATCCGATACTTGGTAAAGAAATTCGAACTACTTCTCCTCTGAGTGATCGATATCCCCTTCGTATTCGCCAAAATCTGACTACCTTGAGCCACCGCTACCGAAAGCTGCTGAGTTATCTGAGTAATCGACTTAGAAATATCAAAATCTTGTGGGATCAAGGCTGGAGGAATACTATAAAGAAAGTTAGCCAAATTTGAATTTTGATACCTTTTGAGCAATTCTGAGTGGTCATCGACTGGATTTATAGTACCTGTTTTAGGAGGGGGTTTAGATATAGTGGTGAGGCATGGGGTTGGAGAACCTAGAGAGGGTAGGGGAAATTGGAAGTTAAAGGGGATTTAGAATTTACCTTGGTTCTTGACTTCTTCCTTCACAGAGGGTTCTTTGTTAGTGGGTTGGCGTTTTGGAGAGCGGAGGAGTTGATTTATGTTAGATGAGGGTTCTGAGAAGTTGTTTTTACTGAAATTTTGGAGGATTTCATTATTTCTGACTCTGATGGGAGGATTAGTGAAGGTACCGAATTCTGCCTGTGGTCCTTCGAGGTTGGGCTTAGGTGGAGTTAGAAGATATTGGGGAGATACCACTTCAGTTTTAGTTATAAACTTTAGATTCTTTGGAGGTTTAGAATTGGGGTGATACTTAGTAGGACCTCTGATACAGTGGATTATATCAGGAGCTGAGGGATCAAGAGGAGCTAAACTGCTAGAACAATAATGAGCTGGGCATCCAGGAGGAAGATCTGGTCTTGATATCTGCAGCTCTGTTAAGCATTTTGTGTGATAATAATAAGGACAATCATCTTTCTGACATCTTTTGAAATTACTAGGAGAAGCAATGCTTAATTTTCCACAAATTCCTCAAGGATGCTGCATTAAGATGCAATTCTCACATGAAATTTCAGTATTATTAATGTTTTGAATCAACACATTTTCTAATCATATTACATGGAACTTTCTTTTACATCCAAGCTTTCAAATAACTTTTGCATCTGGTTTCTCTCAGATGGAGCAGGCTCCTTCATCTTCAAGTTCAATATCTAATCATTGATAGAATTCTTTAAAAGTCAAAATTTCTTTTTGCTTTGATTTAATTAAATCTTTTGGAGCATCTTCAATTACTTCTTGTTTCGCTTCCTTTTTAGTATCTTGATCTAGTTTAGTTGGTGCTAAATCTTCTTTACAAGGCCTAGGCTTTTCAACAATCTTCTTCTTTGCATCTTCTTTCATATTTTCCAAATTTTGCACATTTTTTGCTAAATGATCCTCTTCCTTCACTTCAACCTTTACTTCAATCTTAACCGCCTTTCTCTCCTTACTCCCTAGATCTATGGCTTCTTTCTCCTGTTTCAAACCAAGAGGTTCCATTTTAATATATTTATTACAACCTCTACCCAATATAACGGGGTTTTGGGGTTTTGGGGTTTTGGGGTTTTGGGG